ACCAACAGCTTTGTCTATTAGCTGGCGGGCAATCCATCAAAGTAACAAACATGCCCTGGGCATCACAACCGGAAACTTTTCTAGCTCAATAAATGATGTCTTTGCTCACAGTTGAACACTCCTTTTTAAACTTTTTTTCATGTTATGAAAATATGGTATCCAATATCCATTAGTGGCACAGTCACTGTCAGCACTGTCAAGTTAGTGACTTTAGTTTCATCAAAGTTTGAACTACTACCAAACTTGCAGTCCAACCTCATTTCAGGATGGTGAACATTTTTGGTCAATAAATTTGTACATGGCATAAACCATTCAATAGTTTTTCATTGAATTGAAAACAAGTGAGAAATGAAATTTTCTAGAAATAAATTAGAAGTAGATTAGAGTCTTAAAATTGAAACAATACTACATTAGAGCAAAGAAGCACCGGTCATGTATTATTTCTTCCAAGTTTTGTGGACGGACAGAATACGGGCCTATACGGCTGGTAAGATAAGGCATAATCATATACAAGAATCGGGATAGTCTTCCGAACTTTACAATTGAATCATGTTAAAGGCCATCCACAATATAATTCTACTAGCCTACTTCTACTAATCTATGTTCTGTTTGAAAGAAAATATAGATAAGGCCATATGTATATGATGATAAGAATACTTAGAGGTATCAAGCCACCATGCATTGCCGACCGGCATCGAGTCTAGTTGTAGTGGAAACTCAATTAGGAGTTATCACTGCACATCCACACGTGGAAACTACATGAGCTCAAATGATACAGTGATACGTTTCTTCTTCTACATTGGCCATTGCGTGATTCTTTATCGTTTTGCAGCCGGCAACTGCCAACTGTGGGCTTGCCCCTCGCCCACACGTCACGTGACGCATTTCCGAGCCGCAACATTTCTAAATCAATACCGTAAAATGGGGTTACTTTGACTGGCGGGGTAACTTTGACCACTTTTCATTTTTTTAACAAAAACCCACAAAACTCAAAAACTATTTGACATAGAAAAATTTTGTCAATGGCCATCAAAAGCCTAATACTGAGGCTACGTAACACAATAGAAAGATTTAAAAAGTTTGCATATCTAATAGGTTAAAAAATTAAAAATGTGACCCACAAAAAAGAGCTATTATTTAAAGCCTGTTGGAGTACCCCCTCCAATTTTTTTTATTTTTTTGGTAAAATAACTCCAGGTTTTGATGCATTGTAGTAGAACTCTTCTAGTTACATATGCAAATGACAAATTTTAGGAAAGTGTCATAATTTGCAAATGGGGGGTGTTGCCCCCCAATGGGGGAACTTTGACCACCTAATGGCAGCCGTGACGGGGTAACATTGACTGGCTTGGAAATTAAGTTAAAATTACCATAGGTACCTGTACCTATATAACATATTTTATGTTTGATACACCTATTAATGTTTTTTCTTTGTTTCAGACTCTACAGAGTCTTATATATGGTAATTTTAACTTAATTTCCAAGCCGGTCAATGTTACCCCGTCACAACTGCCATTAGGTGGTCACATTTTGCCCATTGGGGGGCGGCACCCCCAATTTGCAAACTATGACACTTCTCACAAATTTGTCATTTGCATATGTAACTAGAAGAGTTCTACTACAATGCACCAAACCCTGGAGTTATTTGGAGTTATTTTACCAAAAAATAAAATTGATTTTACCACCCGGTCAAAGAAACCACCATTGTACCACCCAGTCAAATTTACCTAAAAATGGGAGATCTCGGGCCGCAAAATTTTCACAAAAAGTAGATGTATTCCACCCCTGCCTTTGGCAATTCCTGACTCAGCTTTTGGGAGATCAGTTGCTGCTGGTAGAGGGACTGGCCTTTCCACAGTTCCCAGGAACAGTAACTTTGAGGGTTTTTGTGATGATGACGATGACATAGGTGAAATCACTCAGTTCAGAAACTTTAGATGATGAGATCTTAAGGGGACCTGCTACCCTAAATTGGAGGTAGCCTACAACTCCTACAGTTATTATCCTATCATCATGAAACTTCACATACATACGTAAAATGTAAAAATAATAACATTTTACCCCTATGAATTTTTCGAAAAAAGTGATAGAAAACGTGATATTCATAGAAAACGGAAAAATAACGGGTACTATAGAAAATCTATCTCCCCCCACAAATATCGTCCGACAATATCGAGACACATATCATTAGATTCGTAAAGACCATACCTATCAACTCTACCATCACTTTTTTCATTTTCCCCATAGCATTTTTTTATGCGCGTTTTTCTCATTTTTTAACTTTTTTTACCCCCTCCCCCCCTTCTCCCCCATATATAAGACGAACCATGCACAAATTAAAAAAAAGCAATGGCTAGGTCAATAGATATGGTCTTTACAAATCGAATGATATAACTCTCATTGCTGTAGCTTGAAAACTGTAGGAGGAGATAGGTTTTCCGTGACAATAAGTTGAAGTTTTCAAACTTTTCAGGACGGCTCGACAAAGTCCCGTGCGCCTCGAAATAGGCACTCAATGTAGCATGGATACCAAACTACAGGCTTCTGTAGCTTAATCCACTCAAGGATGCTAGCAGCAACTTGTAGCGCACCTCTACGTACAATGTTAGGAGGGTAACTGAGCTCAGATGCCAGATACACCAAGATATGTAGTCTTGCCGCTGTAATTTTCTTAGGTCTATTTAGTTAAGGAACTCCACCCCCCGCCCCCCATTAAAGCCCGGCCATCTGCGTCAATATTGCCGTACATGGATCGCAGTAGTATCGTTGGAAAGCTCAGAATGTCAGCTTTAAGATGAGACTAAGCATGTAACTGCAGCACAACTCAAGTAGAAACTATATTCAAAGATTTCAGCAGCTAATTAATTTATATCTAATTTCCTAAAGAACTCTCCCACCCGCTTCCCTTTAAAGAGACGTCATGAACGTAAATATTGGCGTACAGCAATGGCAGTGGTACCATTGGAAAGAGAAGAATTCCAGCTTTCAGATGAGCACAAAAACCGAAAAACGCCAAAATTGAAAATTTTAGGGTAGCAGGTCCCCTTAACTCCTGCCCAGAGATCAAATTCCCATAAAAACAGGAAAAACTTCATAGAGCTTACCAAGGAGGGAGAAAATCTTGCCCCATCCTATAATTCTACTGGGTCCGGGAGAGTCAATAACATTGAACCAGTGGCAGATGCTTGCACAGTTGAAAAGTTTACTTCAAACAACTTAGCTCTAAGTAGAGCTTTAGCAGACTCTCCTTCTGGCAGGGCAGGAATTGCAAAATTTAGCAAAAGTCTTGGGCATGAGATTTTAGTAATTACCTTGAAAGATGAGCCTGATGTTGGGATGTCTGCTTTGCTAAGTGTCACTCAACTCAGTTCCTGGACCATAAAATGCCATGTGCCTGTCAATCACTCCAAATCAGTGGGAGTCATTGGTCCCATGGGTGAGGATGTCTCAAATGATGAACTTGCTGAAGCTCTGGATTTGGTTGGCTATCCTGGTGCCTCTGCAGAGAAATTCAAAAAGGCAAAGAAAAGATCAACTCCTCCATGTTTAAAGTAACCTTTAATACAAACACCCTGCCAACTTTCATTCAACTTGGGTTCTAGTGCTTTCCAGTAAATCCATACATAGCAAAACCCTGGCAGTGCTTCAAATGTCAGAGATTTGGTCACAGTGCCATTACTGCCATAAGCTGTAGGAGTGCCCCTCACTGTGTCAAGTGTGGTGGTTCCCACAGCATCAAAGATTGCACAAAACAAGGTGCCCCTCATTGCTGTAACTGCAGTGGCAAGCACACGGCCAGTTATGGAGAATGTAAATTCACCAAGGAGGCCCAGATAGTTGAAAAAGTTCAAGCTCAGCAAGGGATCTCCTATAAAGATGCTCTAAAGGTTGTCCAGCGTTCTGAAAATGACCATGATTCTAATGAAACATTTCCCAAGATCCCTAACAGATACATGCCAGTCTGTCTGGCCAGTCATATGCTGCCATAAACAAGCCCAGAACCTGGGCCCAAAGAGTCAAGTCTTAGCATAATCACATGTCTAAAATATTAAAAAAAAAAACTTTTTAAAAACCACGTTTTTCTTGTGGACTAAAAAGTAGAAAATAAATTACCGTTATGGCTCGCCCCAAAAAACGTGTGTCGGGCAGATTTATGATTGAAGCGAAAAGCACACAACACACGAATTTTGGAAATTTGATGGTGAACGTACAGCCCGACCCACTTTTTATGGGGCGCCGGGCGAGCCACAACGGTAATTTATTTTCTACTTTTTAGTCCACAAGAAAAACGTGGTTTTTTGAAAAGTTTTTTTGAATATGTTATTTTCTACTTTTTAGTCCACAAGAAAAACGATTAAGACTTGATTAAGTTTGACTTGACGTATGTATCGATGATACGCAGCATCAGCGCCTGCTCATCTATAACATCAGCGCCCGCACGTCATACTATATATATATTATATATATATATACTTTACTCAATTAAGCTAATTTAGGCCTCTAATTGCTAGTTTTTATGATTGTATCTGAAATTGTTAGGCGAATATAGCCTGCATGCCAAATTTCAGATCTCTAGAGCAATCAGAAGTGGGCTAATTTTTTTTATCAATGTTAACAATAAACAAACGCGAAGCTGAGTAAAGAAAAATGTGTTAAAAAGTAAGCACAGGAACCCAGATGCAGCCATCATAATATTTTGTTGACAAATGCAATTGAAAAAACAAATTTGCACAATTTGCACAATTTGTCCAGAAGAAAGACTAGGCAACCCATCAGTGGGTCTTGTCCCACTTAATGTGTTGAAGCATGAGGCTTCATAAATGTTTCTCTATTCTCTATAATAAACATAGAAATATGAGAATTAGATGGAATTTTTAATGTGTACCTCCTTTTCTAAATTTTCAGGGTTCAAATTTCTGGAGTGCTGCTTATTCTTTTCCTCTGTTGTAAATTATACAAACACCTTAAAAAAATGGACAGCTTCAATAAAGTGTAAGCAGCTTTTCACTGTGCAACTTGTTGTTCAGTTTTGGGACAAACCAAGTGAATGAAATGGATTTTCCTTTGATCTGCTGTCAAATGATTGATAAAGTATTGATTTTTTTAAGCTTGAGATATTTACCATCTTTGCTTGTAACTTAACAAATGGTTAGTAGTTTAGTTTGGATTTATCATGTCTTACTTCCACTGTGAATGCTGTTGCAGGACCATTGCAAATGCCAGATATCAGTTGTCTATCTGCATTTATCATGATCAAGATTGATTTATTGTCTGATTCTTTATTGTCTTGATTATTTATTATTGATTCTTTGATTCTTCTTATGTATATTGATTCTTTCTGTTCATTGCTCCAAACTTCTCTGCACCAAAAATGTAGGTTTAGTAATGGATGTAATGTAATATGTCATAAAAAATTGTGAATTCAAGAATTATTAACCAATATTTACTACTTGTTTGCAAGAAAAGTCTCAACTGCATGACATGATCTAATTGCACTTGACATTTCAGATTTTCTGATCCTGACATGAGAGATGACTGTGGCACCTCACCAACCATATGTAAAGCTTACAAGCAATATTGTTACACTCCTGGGAGGCAAGAGTATTTGGATATGGTGACCTATACTGCTCATGGTTTGTATCCAAATTATGGTTGTAAATATTGCTAAGAACTGAAATTACTGTCTGTATGTGCTAATAGTTTTAAATATACATTATTTTTTATCTATAAATATATTTTACAAAAGAATGCAAATATTTCATAAACTAAATTTGCTGTAGAAAAAATAGAACCAGCGTTGAAATCAGCTGTATAAATTCTTCCCAACCCACCTAAAATAATCTCAGAACCATTTTCCCTTTGACCAGTGTAATTCTTTAGGAAATAAAATATTGAACAATTTCTTGTGTGTTCCATGGCCAAAATAAAATAACTTTTTAGAAACTTGGCTTCTCTTTTATGTATTTTGATCACTGAGGCTCTAGATAATGGTTATCTTGTCTTAGTTCTGTGCTAAATGTTTGGTAAAAATTCATCTGCCTTGATAAAATTGATAATATTGGCAGTAAATCAAGTCTGTCTCATGCTTAAAAACAATGAAAAAATAAGGAATTACTAAGAAGATAAATTTTTTTCAACTACAAGAATCGATAGAAATCATATATTCCAAGCACTTGCTAACCTTTTAACCTACGAATTTTTTGAGTGCTTCATAAAAATGTTTATTTTTTATTAAAAGATCTCTTATTTGCTAGTTATAGACTTTGAAGGTAATTTTAATCCTATTCAGTTGGGCATAACCATCCGCTCATTGTAAGTGCTGGTCAGTCTCAGCTCCGGCAGCTTCTGGCTGGACAAGGCTTCTACAGCCAGCCTCTCCTAGACTTGGTCAAAACTCTTCATTCTATTCTCCCCAGTTCTCTAAAGCATCAATATGTTATAAATTCTGGGTAAGCTAAATTATTTTTTTATAAAGACTTGGTGTATTGAAGAGAGTGCCATTAAAATTTAGAAACATGGTTAGTAGTAATACTAGTTAGACGCACTGGCATCGATCAAACCAAATCTTGTCTGCTGATGATTCTAGACTATTCCAAATTTCTATAGCATGCTAAAGTTTTGAATATTCAACTTACTTCTCTGACCTGCTATTATTTACAACTTGGCCACCTTGATGCTTTTGATCATAACTTTCACGGCTAGCTGAGATCAAATCTGTAACTCATATCTCCAATCTTGGGGCTCTAAACTTCACCCACTCGTCCAGCCTGTGAAGAAAAAAGTAAATTCTAGTAAAAAATTACCTACATATTCTTTGTTCTTTTATTGTGAAAACCCACTGAATGAAATGCACATTAATAGATATTTTAGTCTTATAATGCTTAACATTAAATGTAATTGATCAGAATTATAGTCCATGTTTTTCAATCCACAATTAGCTTGACAGCAATAATATTGCATTAATTTTATTAAATCAAATCTGTTATAGTTTGTATTAGCCTTTAAATATATGGTTTTTAATTTAGCAACTTTTTTCAATGTAGCACAGATATTGTTATATTAAAACATGGACTTATTCTTTTCTAATTTGTTATCTTGCAGGTCTGAAGCAAATGATTTAGCTCTTAGGTTGGCCAGGAATTACACAAATGGTGACGACTTCATTGTGTTTGAAGGGTAAGTAAAGTATTCTAGTAAATCAATAACCTTATGAAGTATGCGCACAACAATGATCTTTTCGACATTTGTCTGCAGATTGCTTCTTTTGTTGATAGCTTTTAGTACTCTTGCTTTAATTTTTGATATCGATTATTCCCATGTTGAAACAATTGCTGGCATTTAATGATCAATTTTTCTGGGGCAACATACGATTATGCTACTTGATCTTTTATATGATTTACTTTCTCTATTTGAATTTATTGATGAACATCAAGCTTTTGATTATTATTATTTTTTAAATATAATTTCTGCAACAAACTTGCAATGTTAACACTATGTGTGATTAATGAGTTAAATTGCTTGTTTATGAATTAATAATCTTCTATAAGAATAAAGGGATTGAAATTTGAAAAAAAAAAGAAATATTCAAGTGACAAGCAACGTTGTTATGATTATTGGTAATTTTGCAAAATAAAAAATTTTATTACCACATTTGAAACTATCCTATACATTTGGTGAAAAACTAACACAGTTTATGACTTATTTATTTAACAATATTTATTAATTAGCGTATCGTATATACGACATTCTTCAATGTCATATTTCATGTATATAGATATATGTGTACTGTGTGGCGAGTTAAAACATGTTTTACTTATTCACTGCTATAAATTTTCTATAATTGTTTGCATTTTAATACATTTAATTTATGTCATGTAAAAAATGCTTTTCTGGTCTTTAAAATATTGTGCTTTAAATTTATGCTCCTTATTATATGCCGCTTTGTTCTTTAAAATATCCACTATTTGACCCATTTCCCTTAAGGGCTTACCACGGCAGCCTGAGCAACCTTCTCGACCTGAGCACTCCTGCCCTGGAGTTGCTGCAGCTCCAGAAGTCTCCTGAGACGCACATAGTGCACCCCCCAGACCTGTACGGTGGACCCTTCAGAGACGACGACCCTGATGCCTGTAATGCCTGTTATCATGTATTATTGAGTCTATCTCTCTCTAATAAATATCATGTATTTTTTCATCACCCTATTCCAGTGAAATAAATCAGGAATCTAAGTATGGAGCTTCAATTACTCGAATTCATGTCAATCTGTTTTATTTCATGTTTACTGTAATAGATTATAGGCATCTGCTGTGCTGATAGCTTTAAATTAACTTGCATGGATTTGTTGAATCTTCAAGGAGTCTCCATTATGTTCATAGTTGCCATGAACTATTAAAACTATTAGTAACTCTTAACAAAGATGTCATACCAACTAAAATAGTTTGTTTAATGAGTTATTTGTACCTAAACAGGCAATAAGTACGTAGCAGAAGTGGAGGCTGCCATCACAGATATAAAGGAGCGCGGGGGCAAGCTAGCAGCCTTCATCTGCGAGCCAATCTCTGTGGCATGCGGCGCGCTGGTGCCGCCCAGGCTGTACTTCAAGAAGGTCTTTGAGTGAGTTTTGTGTCGAATAAATTGCAGTACAAGATGGTCTTTGAGTGAGTTTTGTGTCGAATAAATTGCGGTACAAGATGGTCTTTGAGTGAGTTTTGTGTCGAATAAATTGCGGTACAAGATGGTCTTTGAGCGAGTTTTGTGTCGAATAAATTGCAGTACAAGATGGTCTTTGAGTGAGTTTTGTGTCGAATAAATTGCGGTACAAGATGGTATTTGAGTGAGTTTTGTGTCGAATAAATCGCGGTACAAGAAGGCCTTTGAGTAAGTTTTGTGGCGAATAAATTGCGGTACAAGAGGGCTTTTGAGTGAGTTTTTTGTGTCGAATAAATCGCGGTACAAGAAGGTCTTTGAGTGAGTTTTGCGTCGAATAAATCGCGGTTCAAGAAGGTCTTTGAGTGAGTTTTGCGTCGAATAAATTGCGGTGCAAGAAGGTCTTTGAGTGAGTTTTGTGTCGAATAAATCGCGGTTCAAGAAGGTCTTTGAGTGAGTTTTGTGTCGAATAAATCGCGGTACAAGAAGGTCCTTGAGTGAGTTTTGTGCCAATTAACCGCACTCGTGAAACTGTGTTTTCCAAGCTAAGCTTTTCTATCACTATCGAGAAATTGGCGGTTATGTGTATTTAAGCAAATCCGCTTACATCACGCCGCTTCTCAAAAAGCCGGACCTTGACGCCTCAGACCCAAATTCGTATCGACCCATCTCCAGCCTGTCGATTTTATCGAAACTTCTCGAGCGCGTTGTGGCCCGGCAGCTAAATAACTACCTTCATAAGTCAGGTCTCATGCCTCGCCTCCAGTCTGCATACCGTCGTCACCACTCGACGGAGACCGCAATGCTGAAGGTTCTTTCGGATATTCTGCAGGCGGTCGACTGTGGCAACATTGCGGCGCTGGCTTTACTCGATCTTTCCGCTGCATTTGACACGGTCGACCACGCCACCTTGTTGCGTCGGCTAGACGTATCGTATGGCCTGCGCGGTACGGTGCTGCGGTGGTTCGAGTCTTACCTCGACAATAGACTCCAATGTGTTCGTCGCGGGCTCTCCTCTTCTACACCATCGACGGTCACCTGCGGTGTACCGCAGGGCTCGGTTCTCGGCCCAATACTCTTCCTGCTATATATTGCCGACGTGTTGCACATAATTGATTCACACAGCTTGAATCCGCACATGTTTGCCGACGACACCAAAATCTATGGCTACTGTGCGCCGGCGGACGCTGCAGCGCTGCAAGACCGGATGTCTGCCTGCATGGACGCCGTTTCAGACTGGATGCGTTCCAACCGGCTCCAGCTCAATGCATCGAAAACCGAATTTATTTGGTTCGCGACCGCTCGTCGCCAACATCAGCTTCCAGCAAACCTTGTGCGAGTGGGCGACGAGTTCGCCGCACCTGCATCCTCTGTACGCAGCCTCGGAATTCAGCTGGACTCAGAACTATCTATGAACAACTACATTGCCAAAGTAACCGCTGCTTGTTTTGGCATCCTGCGGCGAATTCGTAGCGTCAGTCGCTGTCTCTCGAGGCCCTCATGGTGGCGCTTGTGCTGACCAGACTGGACTATGGCAATGCCACACTCTACGGACTTCCCATCACGGCACTTAACAAACTACAATTCGTAATGAACGCTGCAGCGCGACTCGTTTGTGCCCGGCGGAAATTTGACCACGTGACACAGATTTTGCGTGACCTTCACTGGCTGCGCATCCAGCAGCGCACGCAGTTTAAAGTCGCTGTTCTGACGTTCTGCTGCCTCCATGGTTAAGCACCACCTTATCTCGCTGAAGGCCTGCGGCGCCTGTCGGATCTGCCTTCTAGAAGGCGATTGCGTTCCTCGTCGCAGGCTGACCTCGTCGTCCCGTCCTCACGTCTGTCCACAGTCGGCGACAGAGCGTTCCCGGTCGCTGCGGCCAGAACATGGAATGGTCTGCCAGCATCGGTGACATCTGCTTCTTCGCTGCCGTTGTTTCGTCGACGCCTAAAACAGAACTTTTCCGTAGAGCCTTTGAATCTTAGACCTAGCCGTCATCTAATCTATCATGTAAATTACTGGTTTAGCATAGGTGTTGTTTGTTCTAGCATAGACCATGATAGACGTCGTCATTCTTGGCATATGTCTTTTGTTTTAGCATAGACGTCATCTGTTTTTATCCTCTCGTGTCTTTTTTAGCCACTTGTAACGTGCCCTCGAAGTTCGATCCGAGCGAGACGCCACGACAATCTCTTAGTGGAATAATAATAATAATAATAAGCGAGTTAGGATAGCACGCCCCCATGTGCTCGACGGGCAGGTTATTGTTAAAACCTTCGTACAAGGAGGTAACAGCTCGCTGAGTTCACCCTGAGTGCGAGATTGGTTGCGTTTGTAGTGTGGCATGATGCTTTTATACCACTTTGGTAATAGCTGTTGATATCGATTGATGTATTGGCGTCAAAACATGCATAGATGTTCGAGGTACAGAATTCGGTAGTTACATGCCACAAATGTGCTGGCTTTCTTGAATTCCCCCACATAATTTTCGATGACTAGTTTCAGGAATTGGTGTTTCAGTTTTCCCTGATCAATGTTAATATTTATATAAATATATATTAATATGATTGTGATTGCAGGCTGGTGCATCAGGCAGGTGGAGTTGTGATCGCAGATGAGACGGGCTGCGGCATGGGGCGTGCTGGCGAGCACTACTGGACCTTCCAGGTGAGCTGCACTCCACGCCATGACGACTTCTACTTGCGTTCAATTTTTCTGAACGGTTTTTACTTAACCTTAATTGCATTTTCGAAAATCAAATTTACTCTATATTTTATTCTCTATGCGTATATTTATTTGCTCTATATGTCTATTTATTTTATTTTGTTGAGTGCACTAATCTCAGGCTGTCTTTCTCGAAAATCAAATGACGACATTTTCATACATTTTCAGCATTTCGACATCGTGCCCGATATTGTGACAGTCGGTAAATCGATTGGCAATGGTTTTCCGCTTGGCATCGCCATCACCACTAAAGAAGTCGCTGATAGTCTTGGTGAACACTATTCGACGGTTGGTTGAACTCATTTTGTTTGCATGGATGTACGAGAGGGCTTCAAAAAGTTCGTAGAAAATGGATATAACTGAAAATTATATTAAAAGAATTTGATGCCAATTCACCAGAACGATCCTGAATCAAAGTTTTATAACGTGTTCTCACATGAAACTTTAAATTAATATTACAAACGCAGGGCGCTTTTTTAGAAGCAACAACCGTTCATACAACACCCCATCTGCCGACATGGAGGCCAGGCCAATCATCAGATTCATGGTGAAGCTTGGATGGAAGAGCAGCCAAATTATTGACTCTCTGGAACAAGTTTATGGTGACAGTGCTTCAAATAAATCAGCAACCTCGAAATGGATTAGTCGTCTCAGAAGCGGAAGAAATAAAATCAAAGATTACCTCTGCAGAGACCGGCCACGCACATCAGTTTTTTGGGAAAACATTGATGTTGTTTGTTGTCTCATTGAAAAATATACGCCAATAATCGCCGAATCAGTATTAGACAACCTCAATATCTCAATGAGTTTGGCACACACAATTATTTTGGACAGTTTGTGACTGATTAAGCTCTTTGCTAGATGTGCTCTTTGGTTGTTGCGCCCAGATCAGCAAGAATCAAGAGCAGATATTTCTACGGAAGTTGAACAAGTGGGATGAGAACCCAGAACTGTTTCTTGCGCGGATTGCGACCGGAGATGAAACATGGCTCTACCGGTACACTTACAAAGACAAAGCTCAATCGAAGCAGTGGCTCTTTAGGGGAAAAAGTTTGCCCGTCAAAGCCAAATTCGAGCGTTCAAGAAGGAAGGTTATGGCCATTTTCTTCTGGGATACAGAGGGGATCTTGTTAGTTGATTTCCTCGAGAAGAAGAAAAACATTACAGCAGTTTATTATTGTTATATTTTGATGACATTTTGAGGAAATTTGCCCAAAAACGCCTCGTAGAGCAGCGTCGGCGCGTACTCATCCACCGCTACATGGCACTCGCCCATGGCGCTTGACAGACAGAGGCTGCGCTATACGACTTTCGATGAGAAATAATTTGGAATGCTCCTTATAGGACCGTCTTAGCCCATCCAACTTATTTTTATTTTGCACAGATGACCTGATGGCTGGTCAGCGTTCACTGAAATCTCTTAAGGGGACCGCCCTAGCTAAAATTTGAAAATTTTGAGTTTTTCTGTTTCTTATCTCATCTTAAAGGTTGTTTTCTTGCGCATCGAACGGTATAAGTATCGTCCCTGTACGTCGAAAAATGACTTTGTGACAGCTCCTCAAAGGGAGATCACGTTTTCAATCAATTTTTCGAAAAATTCATAGGAGCAAAATGTTTTTTTCTACATTTTACGTATGTATGTGAAGTTTCATGACAATCGGATAATAACTGTAGAAGTTTTCGTATGCTAGGGCGGTCCCCTTAACCAAGATAGAGCATAAGTATACAAATAAACCATATGACTTTGACCGTTATTTTAAACTGTATTTTTTCCACGAACTTTTTGAAGCCCCCTCGTATGATTTTTTTTTCAATTGAAGTGGCTTATTCATACAGCTTGAGGAATAATATCGGTGCTTTATATAGGGTGCTTGCCTAAGCGATCAATTTAGTCTGTTTGTGAACTGAAATAAAGATAGCTGTTTGTTCTTCATATTACATTTTCTTGAGGTATTTGTAAGAAAATCTGCTGACTGATGGATGATATGATTGATGAATTATTGAGAAATATATATATAATCGATTAATGATATTGAGAATTGATATGATAGAAAAAAAACATAATCTAAAGCGGTTGATACAAATTGCGTGTTTCGGTTCAGTTTCCCGTTTGAAGAAAATCGTCAATCATAATTGTCGACAAGGTAATTTCAAACCAAATTTACCTTCTGAATCAAAATCAGGAATCTCATCCACAGTTTCAAATCATCCCGATTTTTTCTATCATAGTCATTTTTTTTCATGAGCCAATTTGTACAAAAATCCTTGCATTTAGCGGCATTCAGAGGTTATTTGCATCAAGCCACCTGTACAATAATATTATTTCAGTTCGGAGGTAACCCCGTGGCTTCCTGCATCGCCAAATCTGTTCTCGAAGTCATTCATGGCGAGATGATGTTGACGTCGGCGCGCAGCGTTGGCAAGGTGTGCATTTATTAATGGTTTGTATCAGTGGAGAGAGGAATTCTGATGACATCTGTCTGTGAAGTTCATCAATTTTTTCTCCTACTGTTCTACTAATGATGTTTCTTACGTCGTTATAACATGTTTCATCCGACAATACACTGTTAGAAAAAACGGTGAAAAAACGGTCCCACCGGCATCCTAGTGGCCGGTCGCCCCGTGAAAATAAACTGTTTCACCGTTTTTATCAGATGTTTTACGGATTTCTGGTGTTAAATTGGAATAAAAACGGTGAAACGGTGTTTCTTTTCACGTGCCGACCGGCCACTGAAACGCCGGTAATACCGTTAACGGTCATTTTTCTAACAGTGTACTACCGTTGAGTCAGTGACGAAATATTGTAACGAAATATTTTGACTGAATTTTTCTAGTTGATGTAATCTTGGTTACTTTGTCCAACCCGAGACCAATTCACTTCTACTCTCGGTGAACCCAGAGTCCGAAGTGTCAGCGAAGGAAGAAAGAGAACAAATTTCGCAAAACATAGTTGAAGGTATAATATGAAATTAAGTAGAGTGGAGTTCTCACTGATATTCTTTGAATTTTTTCTATTTTTCTCAATTCAGAGCCCTCCTAAAGCAATTATCTGCTATGCCAACCATACGCATGTAAATTTAGGCAGTGTTTTGTTCCATCAAAACCGACATTAGTTTCATATTTCGACTCTCAGAGTTCGTGCTACTCTAGTGTCCGCTGCTCATCCATTCTACCAACGCTATCCCAAGAATTGTTCGAATGCTTGAAAATCTTAATCAAACCTATTCTCTCACAATTAATCGAACAAGTTCATTCGTTATAAATATTTCATTTTAATACCTTGCAGTTTTATTTTAATAAAAGTACCTTTAATATCTTTATGTAATTGCAGTTTCTGGTGAGCGAGCTGCGCAGCGTACAGGAGCGCGTGCAGAGCGTTGGGGAGGTGAGAGGACGCGGCCTGTGCCTCGGCATCGTCATTGTGCGCGACAAGGAAACGCGGCAACCGCACCCTCAGCTCGCCAGGAACATTGTTGCCAGGTGTGCTAAGTAACTCGTCACTCTGTTATTGTTGTATTTTCCTGCAGTACAGACGGGTAAAGTGCTATATTTACTGTGTGTTACTGTTTTGTTACCTCCTCAGTCCATGCATGATATCTCTTTGCCCTTGAATACGTGGCTCTTCGTTGCAGTCCTTGCTCTCAAATTTGTGCCTAGCTCCCTGTCATGATCTTCGGAGCCGTTGTTTTTATGCTAGGATGAAATAACCACAATCGTCAGCCCCGAATTAGAGCAACAATATGTTTGTAGGAGTTTATGAAGTCACTTGCTACGATGTTTACCCAGGTATTGTTGAGGAAAGCGGTTTCTCTTGCATTGATAATGCAATCACGTTCTTTTAAGCGCGTGCTAGAACGGAAACGATTTCTGGAGGACGTTATAATGATACAGCCGTAATTTTTTAGCCGCAGAGTACAAGGAAAAGTTTTTGGTGCGCGCCGAAAAAAAATTTTTAACGGCCAATTAATAATGAGTTTTGTGTGTGGACTTACGCTTAAATCAACAATAATATTATATTAGGATACATTAAACATATAAATTGAATAAAATACATTATTCTATACTGCTTCAAGTATAATTTAATATAATTTCTGTTTTGCAGGTCACAGTGGAAAGGTTTTTGGTACACTAAAGAATTTTCACTTGTTATATTTTTACTAGATGTTGATGAGAAATTTGTTGTGTGTGAACTTAATAACGAGTTAGTATAATTCTGTATCACAGGCTAGAGAGAAAAGGTTTCCTAGTGTCACGAGGAGGCCTACATAAGAACGTGTTGCTGCTGACGCCCCCGCTGTGCATCACACAACTCGACGCCCGTCAGTTCACGGCAGCCTTCGAGGACGCGCTCACCGAGGCGCTCAGCCACCCAGGGTGAGTTATCTCCGATAACTGATCATTTTTTTGGTTAATTAATTAATTTATAAATTATTAATTAATTACTTTTCAATTAATTACTTAATTAATAATCAATTAATTTATTAATAATTAATGGATTAATTTCTTAATTAATTTATTTATCTAACTAATTAATTAAATAATAATGGTCTCTAATTTTGTCATGGGGTGAGCAATATAATTTCCCGATAATTTTGTTAAAGGCTGAATAATGGTAAATAACTTGAATTATAATGGGATGAATAACGATGAATAACGTTTCTTTAATTTTTAATAGGGCAATGAAGATATTAAATAACATCCCTGTAATTTTTTGGTGGGCAAAGAGGACAATGGATTTTGTAGACGATTGCTTTTAGTTCGTTTTCAAACAATTGCTAGTATAGAACTTTGCAAGAAAAAATATTTTCCATCAGATACGTTCTTAAGAACTTTATTTTTTGTCAGAAAATTAGCATTAAAACTTTTCCTATTACTGTTGAAGGTTTAAACATATATTAAAAACATATATTGAAAAACAATTAAAATGTACGGTGCCATGCGTAGCTACCTATCGATGCTTTTATAAGTTGGAAAGCATTTGTGTTTAACGTATATCTGTTTACTAGCATATTAAGACACAAATACCAACATTATTTTTGTCTGTCTAATTGTGCTTACTTATAAATTTGTTATGTAGTTTTATTCTATATCAAATAGAACTCTATGTTTTTTCATGCTCGAACTGATGGCCTTTTCCCAGCATTAACATTTTTCGTATTACGTATAGAGCGTCCGGAACATTTTTCTATCATTGCCTACAATGAATGGCCTCAATGTCATCTCAAATCGCTCGGTACTTTAATCTCAAAGCTGAAGTACCTGCGCTTGTTTTCCATCATTTGATTGCGTTTCAATTTTTGCGCGATTTCAAATATTTTGGCCTATTAATTGTCATACTCCGTTGTTCGCGAAATTTTGGATGCATGGATTATCGTTCTGACGCATATATTTTTAAAATTTCGTGCACATCAAGTCGTCAATTTCTCTTTTGCTTAATTATTTTACATTTTTGTATTTAAAATTAGACAATATATTTTATTGCCTTGATCGTGCAGCATGGTTCGTGTTTTCAGTGCGTGCTCACACCAGCGTTTTCAGCCTTCAAACTTTTTCATGACATTTCAAGCCCCGCAAAAGTATGCCCATTCGCTGAATTTGCTTTTCTTAACGAAAATTTCTGCTCATTTTGCAAATCAGCGAAATGATCAATATTCGCTTATCGAATACGGTATTTACAATTTTAACCATACTTCAATGAGTCCATAGTGGCAATGCTGAGTTTTATTAAGACTCTTCCTTATTGAATCTTGTGAGTAGACAAGTAAAGTATCCTGGATGTCAGCAAGTTCAATCTCACTCCTTCACTAGTCCCTAAATCATTGTGCTGCTTGAATTTTACGAAATGTACTCTGCCTGCAATCCCAAGCGTTGTAGATAACTACTACACTCCTTTACTAGTCCTTGAATCGTGGTGTTGCTTATATTCTACGGAATTTGTACTGCCTGAATTTGCACTCATCGGAGTGCTCTATACAATGAGTAATGCTACGGCGTCTGTACAGCGTGCCAGGAAGCTCGGTCTCGACGTCTCAAGGACCTGACGCAACGCCCGTCCCCGCAAGGACGGAATCTCACGAGACCGAAGCATCCTCCGGCAATCCGCTCCAAATGAATAAAGAGCGGAAATTGATAGACGAAGTGATTACGTGTCCTGGGAACCAAGTTGTATTGGCTGACGACGAAGAACTTGCGAATAAACGACGAAAAACTGAATGAGGTTCACTAAATGCGCTAGGAATTCGTGAAAGGAATTACTGGTTGGCGCTGGATTATTTATCAACAATGTAACTGCAGTCGGTAAAGTCCGGTGTACCATATGTTCGACGTGTGCAATAAATATGGTAGTCAAGTAATGTGAATCACTGATATACAGTTTTGAATGAATAAAATATGTTCTCTGCGTGTTGGTATAAAAATGCGAGCTCAAACTTGAGTTTATTTGTAATTTTACCTATACATTCCCATTGAAGCAGAACAAGAGTAACATGTAGAGTAAAATAGACAAGATATTCTACTTCTGCCATGAGGCAGTAAAATTTTTTACTCGATATTTTTTAAATTTATTTTTAAATTGTTCTCATCTTTCATTTCCTAAACGCACTTCTCACCTCGTAAAAGTCGGCTCGCCAATCCTCGGCCGCTGAGATGAAGCTATAAACCGCAAGACGCCGTATCTCTGCGCCGCTTCTCTCGACGCCCCTTCTAATTTTTATGGCCGATCTTCCCATTCAGTGTGGCCTTGAATGAAAGCTCGTACGAGGGGCATCTTTTCTGTGGGTATCGTTTATGAGTTGTGTTCCGTCTTAACATTAAAATTTTTTCGTAACTTTGATTAAAAATTTTAAATGCTTAATTGTTAATCCTGTGAGATTTAAAGAGGCGCATGAAATTACAATTTTAAAATCCAACCTCGTGTCAATTCAATATTTTCATCTATTTAGCGTTGAATTATTCTATTTTCATTGTTTTTTCCGGTTATAGCGAATTTTAGTTGGGTGAATTTCAATGTATATAAGTGACTATGAGCCAACAATGAGGAACTTGACTTCCCAAAACCTGATTTCGTTTTTTTCCTTTACTTTCTAAATTGTAGTCCAAACATTAGGCATCGGTAGACTTACAAATGTGAACATCTATACATTTTACATTGGCTAGTGAACATTGAATTAAATAAATGTTGCTATTTGATCAAATCTGTTTTAAAAACCACATCTTTGATGTCCATTTGGGTACATTTTGAACTCAATGTTTTTGTCTCGTGATATTTCTAATTATTCAGCATATGGTAACTGAGACAACATATACGTATTGATCAAGCGATGGAAAGGGTAAAAGTTTCAGGACACAAGAAAGGGGAAAGCACACCAGATCGCCGTGATCGCGTTTCTTGCTTACCTGTAGGGACTCGACGGGATGTTAATCAGAGCGCTACGCCAGCACAGCTTGACGGACAACAAGCCACCTTATGGACACCGGCGCTTTAGTCTCAGCCGCTTTTTGTCAGGTTTATAGTCCTGTTTTGTAACAGACTTAAAGGTGTGAGTTAACGTAAGATAATACTTTCCATACTTTCATTTACATGATGTGTGCCTGGTAAGTGAAATAATTATGTGTAATTTATATGACAAGAAAAAAAAAACATACAAGGATGTTGACTGGAATATTTTCCTTCGATAGATAGACACCAATATATACAGAAAGCATGTTATCAACGCTAGTCAAGTCATCGAATAATTAAATCTTGCAGATAAAAAGTTAACTTTCAGTGATATTTATTCTAAATGAATGCACAGCTTCTTATGATAATAATGATTCACCCAATAACATACTGATATCCTAACACTGACGTGACGATGTACGTTTACTGAGTGCTTCGTCAGCCCCTGCATTGCATGTCTGCCTGTGACTAATGAGGCCGTGACGCTGAGACGTCCTTCTTAAAATTATTCTCGAGGACAAAGTTGATTTCGTGTTTCAGTATTTTGGGATTTCTATCCAGTATTCAAACCGGGAATAATTTATCTCAAAAAACCGAGCCACCCTTAGCCTTGGAAAAGAACTAATGCGAGTCCGTTTGAATTCTAATTAGATCGTTTTGTAATGGTGACTTTTCAAATTATTTTCTCATTGGTTTAATCAATATATACGAATTTTTTAAATCATACCATCAATAAAGCATTATCTACATATAAACAATCGGAAAAGAAGAAAAAAATAATTCATCGAACTGCCATGCCGCAAGAATTGCATTCATCGATCAATGCGCATCATTCATAAAGTTTTGTTTTCATTAGTTTTATTCTTATTATTGTTTAGTTTATTGCGGAAAGTAATGTGGAGAAGAAAATGAAATGATTACCTGATGAAGCATAGCACAACTTAGCCCCACAAAGAGCTAAAGACTATATAGGCTCAGCTACACGGCCGTGTGAACGGAAACAAATTAAGCCTCTATTGCGGTGATGCTTTCCCCGCTAGCGCGCACAGCGGAACAGCCCTACAGCTTCCTGTTGGTATTGCGTTCTGTTTTGAGTACAAAGCTTCTGTATCCTAAATTTTGATTTATTTGTGAGTTTCATGGGTTTGAAATCCAATGTTTAAGATTACCAGGATTGGAGCGATGAGTTGTAGGTTTGATCCTAGATTTCTATGACAGTTCTGGTCAAAATCAGCGAGGTGGCCGGGTGGTTGAGAATTGCAAGATTAGAGCAATGAGTTGCGGGTTCAAAGCCGGGCAAGTTGGGTTAATGTGCTATGTCAGGACTCTGTGAGGGTACATAATTGGCGCAATGAACGCTGACATTACAAATACAAAATATACTACTAATGTTATGAGTGATGCGCCAGAATGAATGAATTACAATTGATCAAACCCTGACTATAAAGCTTGATCTGCCCCGAAAAATCCATAAAAACATATGCTAGGGGCTCGGAATGGCCGAGTGGTTAAGATCACCAATGGAGCAGTAAGTTGGGGGTTCGATGCCTGCAACTAGCCGCGAAAATTCTAATGGAAATTGAATAAGGTGGCCAAATAGTTATGGATCCGCGATAGGTCGGCCTGGCTTCGTCAAATATATATAAGAATTGATGTAATATCAACTATGATATTTACAACAATTTTTAATAGTTAATAATAGTCAACATAGTCAATATTATTAACTCGTAAGAAGAATTGTTTGATAATTTATTAGTGACAATTGTATCTAGTAACTGATTATTAATTTAATAATATCAAACGTGTGTTTCTATGCACAGTCTTGTGTGCCCGCTGCTAATCTGGAGTATTATTTTGAATAGGAGTTAGTCGTCGAATCTGAACCCAAAATTCTGACTATAATTTTATCTCCTAATGTTCAAGCATCATGGAACTGCCACATTATACCTGGCTAAATGAATTGGAATTTTTCCTCTGGCTAACTGGATAATTGGCTTATTGGCCATGCTCCTTAAATGAAAGTGTCTAATATACGAGTCTTGCAATCTATCAACGACTGCCATGTGAGTGACGAATGTAATCGCTGAAGCAACTAACGCGACTGATAGATTGATGAGATCCAGTTTAAGTACATTCTATTTTCAGTATTATTTAATACCTAAATAATTCTACAATTAATTGCATTACACGATGAATATATGCATCATGTTCTTGTTTTGCTGGGAAACGGTCGCATGTTTGATGCCTCTAATCCCTCCCTTGGATACCCCAAATTGAATGATAAATGAATAGGATAGAAAAGTTTTGTTGAATGCCATCAACGTGGCTGACGATGAAACTGAACTGCGTAAGTCGAAAATTCGGTGTAGTGAAGCACCAGCACATGAAGTTAGAAATTGCTCTTCTGTTGACAAAAATTTAGAATGATGACTGAAACTGCCACCCTCGGGAAAATTTGCAATGAGACATCCTGTTTGCACTGCAGCACCTGCCTCGCTACGAGCCATATGCCGCGCTTATTCAACTTCTCGCCTTATAGCTTTCCCCGTATCTCCGCGTCTTGTAGCGCTGCTGCTGCTTACAAGAATTGCTTCGGGTCTATGGGTCTTTACAGACTCTGATGAGAAAAAAATTATGCCTTTCGCGAAGCTTTCTTGTCTGTCCGAGCGTCCGTGCTTTCGCTTGACATTGAAAATGTCTACGTAATGCATTTCATTGTTGTTTAACAAAACATTTAAAAATTAATCAACAACGCACGTTTATATCGTTGAGTAAATAATCGTTCCTTTTCAATTCATTCATTTGTCAGGAGCACCAGCGCTTTATTCGAATGCCATAACAGTTCCAATGAATGTTTGATCAAACTCACAATGTGTCGCAATGTACTGATATTTTATTTCACTTGATTAGAATGCAATACATTTACGTCTCGAGGTGTCAACATCAGTTGAGAAAGTTATTCATTCACTGATGTTTCTCTTGTAGTTCCATGACCTCGCAATCTCTTGTCGATGCAGTGAACCTTTACTGAGAAATCAAAGCTTAATCAGAGTTGATGATGATGACGGATGATATAAATGTGCAGGGATCTAAAGGGTAATTAGAAGCACTTTTTTAACGAGGAAATACTGGATTACTTCAAATAAATACTTTCTTTGCTTCTGAACCGTGCAATCTCGGCCAAAATTTGTGTAACTCTTTGTATGCACGAGTTTTCTTTTCCTAAGCATAAAAAAGTGTTTAGGCATATAATTATATAACCACTTCCTAATTTAGATATTTTTATTCTCTATTTTGATAATTTGTACTTATTTCACCGATATTATTCGTACGGCGATTATAAATAATGTCTTGCTATAAATAATAAGACCGTCTTCAATATTCCAATTCCTGAAGCAAGACTAATGTCCCGAAAATCGTACGGTGTAAATCGAACAGAGCGTAATTAGTCAGTTCGAGAATCAAAGGTCACGAAAACCAAGCAATTTATGCGCGCACGAGTGACTTTTTAAGCTGGAACATCGCTCTTCACGACTCACAAGCGACCCCAAAGAAGAACAAGTTGACTCAAATGCGCTCTTTTGTGACCGCAAAGCGCGTCGACAACGAGCAGCTCGACGGCCTCAAAACTCTCGTCGATGTCGATGTTTTGGTTCAGGGAAACCTGCGTGAAGTCTGCTGTTAATTGCGCTAGCTGCTCTTCCGTTACTTTTCTATGCAATGTTGCCAGCTACGACAACGGTTAATAATAGTGCAAAATTATATTTGCTAGCTAATGTTTTATTCTATTTAGCTTTAGAGTTTATGTGACTTTCATAAATAACTATAAATTTTTCTGTTAGTTTAGATTGATTGATCTCAAGTAGCCCATAAAATTCAAGGTGGACATTACTAATTTATCAGTTACAAATTGTTTTAGATCGTGAAATATTCTCTAATTAAAAAAATCAGGCTATAATGAAGTATGTGAGTAATAATAAACAAGAATAGATTCATATCGTGACGGATGAATCAATGCCATCGATAACGTAAGGTTCATTGTGCGGGAAGTGTGCCATGAAGTCCCAAAACAATGGAATTGTCAATTCTGCTCAGCAATCCTGCTACTTAATCCAGTATCAAATAAGCAGGCTAATTTAGAACAATTTTCTCATATCACAACTAATTTTAATGACCGGTATGCATATACTGACGATGCAATCTAAAATTCGTATTCCTTTAGGGCAAAGTCTTGTATTAGACAAGTTTGATTAATAACAATGCATAACGAAATAACTTGAAATGAAAGTGTCATTCTTTTTAATAAGTTGGAAAAACTAACTAATAAAATCTTCCTTTGTGTGTCGCTAATGCCACGCATTAATTGTCCCTTGCCATGATGCCGAAGTTATAATAAAATATTTGAACAACCAAGAGCCATTATGTTACGAGAACAAAGGCTGTTGGTGTCGTTGCCAGCGTAAGTAATGT